GTTTAAAAACGGTGGCCACGTAGGATATTTAAAGTGACCCACTCCCATAGCACAAAAGAGAGGAAATGCTAGGGACCAAAAAAAGCGGCAGGGTCCAGGTAAGGGGCGGCAGACAGGACTCACACCTAGAGGCAGGAAAGGGGACCACAAAAAGCAGCTGCATCCAAGTAAGGGGTGGAAGACAGGACCCACCATCAGAGGCAGGAAAGGAAGGGAAAGGGACTTCTGGTAAAATGGCAGAATTGGCAGATATTGGTGGATAATTGGCAGACAAGGTACACAGACCCTCTTCAACAAAAAAAAAAAGAGAAACCAACTGACAGAGATACAGAAGATAATCAACAAGCCCTGAGGTTTGAAAGATACTATACAGAAGTAGATTAGGCACCAACTAGTGGAAAAAATTACTCCAGATGGAATAAAGACTTAAATGTGAAACCCAAAACTATAAAATTCCTCAAGGAAAAACTAGAGGCAAATTTAGGTGCGGTAATATATGGTATAAATAGACTATCAAGCGTAACCTAAAATGCACAAACAGCAGAACAGAAACTAAATGAATGGGACCGTCTAAAAATTAAATTTTTATGTGCTTCTAAGGACTTCTCCAAAAGAGTTAAAAGAGAACCTCCAGATTGGGAAAATATATTTGGCAATGACATACCTGACAAGCAACTTACCTCTAGAATTTACAGAAAACTCCAACACCTCAATAACAAAAAAACAAATAATCCAATTAAAAAATGGGCAGAAGACATGCATAGAAACTTCACCAAGGAGAATATTCAGGCGGCCAACAAACATGAAGAAATGCTCTTGATCATTAGCCACTAGAGAGGTGCAAATCAAAACAACAATCAGATACCATCTTGCCCTAGCACTAGTAGCAAAGTTCAACAAGATAGAAAATAACAAATGCTGGCAAAGATGTGGAGAGATTGGGACTCTCATACACTGCTGGTGGGGCTCTAATACGGTACAATGACTTGGAAAGCAATATGGTGATTCCTTAAAAAGTTGGAATTAGATTTACCATTTGACCCAGCAATTCCATTACTAGGTATATATCCTAAAATAGTGAGAGCCAGGACAACAACAGACATCTGCAAACCCATGTTCATCGCAGCACTACTTACAATAGCCAAAAGATGGAAACAACCTAGGTGTCCATCAACTGAAGAATGGATAACCAAACACATACACAAAATGGAATGTGTGTACATACACACAATGGAATGCTATGCAACCCTAAAGAATAACATAGACTCTGCAAAACACTGCACAGCATGGATGAACCTGGAGGGCATTATGCTGAGTGAAGTAAGTCAATCATAGAAGGACAAATATTGCATTAGTCTGTTGTTATAAAAAATCAAGGAAAGGTTTACATATGGATGGAAATTTCCATTACATCTGGAAAGTGAATTTACTCTGTAAACTTTCACCCAAATAATAATTTTTTTGAAAAAAACAACTAGTTATGTGCCCATCCAACACTGTTGGTTACCAGGAGTGAGAGGGAAGGGGAGGGAACATTGTTAGATAGGTAAAGACAAGTGCTGATTTCACTGAAGAGAATGGCAATGTACCAAATCTGAGTGATCAACATGGTGGCATTGAGGAAGAGGAAGGCATAGAGCGGTACAGACAACAAAATGAACCCTTTTGTATACACAGTACTGTGTTGCCAGTGAAGGCAAACATGGCTACTCAGGTACACAGATGGGGAGACAGGCTGAACTATTATGTATGCAGGGGGGAGTGTACCCAAGGTTGGCAGACAATATTTCTACAAATGTATTGCTATGTTCTGTAAGAATTCCCAGGTGTACATTAGAGCTGACAAGTAGAAAGGTTGTATTCACTTCTTAGTTACAGCCAGCTCCCTAGAAAGAGTGAGTAGTTGGACCTGTGGGCTCAGAAACACAGTTGCAGGGGACATCAAGCTCAACCGGCATAACACACTACACAAAACATTATTCCATCTCCTACTCTGGCGAGTAGCAACTGGGATCTTAAAAGCATGTAAGCAGCCATCTAGACACAACAATGGGTCTCTCTTTGTCCAGAGCAAAGAAGAGTGAAGAAAACCAAAGATTCATGGAAGCAATTAGTCCAAGTAACTGGTACACCATGTGATCCTCAGCCTATATCACTATGAGACCAGAAGAACTAGATGGTGCCCGGCTACCAGTATCAACCATTCAGAGGGGCGTCTATGTAGGAGATCCTGGATATAGTGGGAGAACAATGTGGAACAAAACTCCAAATAATGGGGGGGGCGGGGGGAGACTAGATTTGCCGGTCTGATAGAGCCTGATGGAACCACTGAGACTATGGCCCCTAGCTGCCCTTCAGGTCTGGAATTAAACGCACACCTGTGGCTTCCAGCCAAACAAAAGACAGGCATACGAAGTGAACATTTACACTAGGTAGATATAGTCCTTGGAGAAAACAATCATGGGAGAATAGAAGGGCTGTGTATGCACAGGGACATACCTCAGGAGGCAGGAGTGTATGGAGGGAAAGACACAGGGAAGACGTAACTATAGGGAAGAAATAGGAGAAGAGTTGTTGCATTGTGGTAAATTGTAGTCAATGTTATGAGACAAAGTGTATATGAACTGTTGTATGGAAAGTGAATTTACTCTGTAAACTTTCACCCAAATCACAATTAAAAAAAAAAAAAACAACTAGTTACATGCTCATCCAACATTGTTACTACTTCAGGAATATTAAAAAATGATCACTCCTAGTAACTTCATGTACAGAAAAAAAGGGGGGGCAATTTTAGTGGCTCTAATTTATAGCATAAATAGACTGTCAAGTATAACCTAAAATGCACAAACAGCAGAAGAGAAACTAGATGAATGGGACCTTCTAAAAATTAAATTCTTATGTGCATCAGAAGATGTGTGCTTCAAAAGACCTCTGCAAAAGAGTAAAAAGAAAACCTCCAGAATAGGAAAAATTATCCAGCAATGATCTATCAGACAAAGGACTAATCTCTAAAATTTACAGAAAACTTCAACACCTCAGCATCAAAAAGACAAACAATCCAATTAAAAAATGGGCAGAAGACATGGATAGACACTTCAGTAAAGAAGATATTTAGGCAGCCAACAAACACATAAAGAAATGTTCATGATCATCAGCCATTCGCAAGATGGAAATCAAAACAACCAGGTGATACCATCTCATCCCAGCATTAATAGGAAAATTCAACAAAACAGAACATAACAAATGCTGGTGAGAATGTGGACAGACTAAGACTCTCCTACACTGTTGATGCTGTTGTTATTGTTGTTGTTATGTGCCATCGAGTCAAACCCGACTCATAGCGACCCCTCCTTGGGTTTCCAAGGCAGTATCACTACGGAAGTAGGATTGCCCAACCTTCTTTCTGAGGAGTCGCTGGTGGGTTTGAACTGCCAGCCTTCTGGTTAGCAGTCAAGTGCCTTAGGCACTATGCTACCAGAGATCCTGATCCTATTACTAGGTGTGTGTATATATATATATATATATATATATCCTAAAGAAGTGAGAAGCAGGACACTAACAGGTAGATGTACTCCCATGTTCATCACAGCACCAGTCAAAATAGTAAAGAGAAAGAAACAACCAAAGTGCCCATCAACCAAGGAATGGATAAACAAACTGTCATACATACACTCAATGAAATACTATGCAACCCTAAAGAATAATGTAGAATCTGCAAAACACTACATAATGTGAATGAACTTGGAGGACATCATACTGAGTGAAGTAAGTTAATCACAGAAGGACAAATACTGTATTAGTCCACCATTATTAAAAGTTGAGGAAAAGCTTATACGTAGAAGGGAAATTTCTTTGTTGGTTACCAGAGATAGGAGGAGAGGTGAGAGAAAACTCCTAAAAAAACATATACAGAAATCAAAGATTACTAGTGGTTAACAAGGGTAGGAGGGAGGGAAAATGGGGAAGCTTTTGTTTGTGGGGCACAGAATTTATGCTAATGGTGGTGGAATATTTTGGAAAAGGATAGCAACAATGGTGGCAGAACATGAAAAATATCATCAATGTTCCTGAGCTGTAAATGGGGAAGTTGTTATGTCAGTGAATGTCCTGTTGTGTATGCTTTTACCACAATAGAAAAAAAAAAAAAAAAAAAGAAGCAAAAAAATAAAAGCCCTATGGATCCACAAACCAATTACAAGGATGGTGGATGACCAGGCAGCATTTCCTTCCCTCGTGCATGGGGTCAACTATGAGTTGGAGCATACTCAAGGGCAGCTGAAAATGATGACATAAGAAGAGCACTAAAATAAAACTTTCACCTTTTAAAGAACAAATGTAAAAGCTGACATAATAACTTGACTTAATTTTGTTTTGTTAATTTGCTTTAACTAATAGTCTAAACAAGTTTCTCTCCCTACCAAAAGAAAGAATTAACTGGATTCCCCTGCATATGATAAGGATGAAACCAATGACGTGGTAGGAACAGGAAAGTAATCCCTCAGAGAAATGAAAAGTGGATTCATAGTCTCCCCAGACATCAGAAGAAGCTCAATCAATTCTTATAATCAATCAGAGAAGCTCTAGAAACAGCTAAGCTGAACTTATAACCCTGTCTAAAATCTAGTTTATGCTGATAAACCAGTTGCCATCAAGTTGATTATGACTCACAGTAACCTCACATATTTCAGAGTAGAACTGCACTACACAGGGTTTTCAATGGCTGTGTTCTTTCAGAAGTATATTTTCAGGCTTTCTTCTGAGGAGGGTCTGAGTGGATTCAGACCATCAACCTTTCAGTTAGCACTTAAATGTTTACACCACCTATGGACTGTTAATATTGAAAAGACTATCATTAACTGACAAAGTTGATAAGTAGAAACCAATATAGGAAAAAAGAAAACCAGTTTATGAGTTAAAAGATCAATGGGACAATTGATAAAGTTAAATGAGCAACAGAGCAAGACATGTAAATTCCCTTGATGAATATAAACTTGTACAACCTTGGCAATGTCTGGTTCAGAAGCAATGAAGTTGCAAAATCTGGTCATAGCGCTTGGGCCATCTAGCATTCCATCATCCATGTTGATATCCAGTACCTGGGCTCCCATCTCCACTTGCACTTTGGCAATACTCAGTGCTTCCTGAGGGAGGGATATAAGAGGAAGAAGCATTAGGAAAAGGTGACTAGCCAAAGCGATCACTTGCTGTCCCCAAAAGTCTTTGGAAATCATAGTAGACTAACTGAAGTCTTAAAAGAGAAGACTACTGTCTATATTTCAAAGTCTCAAAATTTAGTCTACACCATCATCATTCATGGATACATTTTTAAAAAAAGAGAAATCTAATTTTATAACCTTAGAGTTATTTTGATTCATCTCTTACTTTTCAATACTTACACATTTAAATTGTTATCAAGCCCTGCTTGTGTTTCCCATGGAGAACTTCATGAATATACAACTTTTCTTTTTCCATCGCCTTCACCCATTACCTGGTCCTCCACATCCCATACTAAAATACTACATACAGTAACCTCCTATCCAGATTCTGGGTTCTGTCCTCCCATAATTCATCAAAGATTATCCTTTCTTAAACATATTGTCCATCCCATCATTTCACTACTCAGAATCCATCAAAGCTCTGTATTACAACCACAAAAAATCTAAATACCTCAGCCTGGCATTTAAGGGCCTCTGTGACCTGGCCTCATCTTCTTATCCAGCTATACATCAACTCCTCCCCTCCTCAATGCACACTTGACCAAACCCGTTCCAATGATTTCTTTAACACCAGTGCTCACTTCCATCTCTGTGCCACTGATCATGGTGTCTCATCTACTTGGAATGCATTCCACTTGCCTTCCACATTGTTTAAAACCGAGCTTAAGTCCCATCTCCTACAAGAAAAATCCTTAGGGAAATCATGTAACTGGAGTCTAATGAGCCATTCCTACCTATTCCCTTCTGTGTCTACTGCCTCTTCCCACTGTTTCTATCAGACTGAGAGAGCAGAATGGCTAATATGCATTTGTTAGATTTAGTTTCTAGCACTTACTTGCTATGAAACAGTAGTTGAGTAATTTAACCTCCCCAGGCCTTCATTTCTACATCTGGAAAATGTAGAATAATAGTCCTTACCATATGGGACTGTGAAGATTGTATGAATAACAATGTAAAGCACTTAAACACAGTGTCTGGCACATGGGAAGACCCTAATAAATGGTAGCTATTACTATTCCTACTTCATTGCTTCTGTCTAAAATGCCCTCTGCTTTTACTCTCAAATCCATCAAATCTGAGAAATGCACTAAACCCACTGCTGTCAACTCAGATCTAACTCACAGCAACCCCTCCTAAAGTTTCTGAGGCAGTATCACTAAGGAAGTAGACGGCCCAACTTTCCCTCCAAGGAGTGGCTGGTGGGTTTGAACCGCCAGCCTGCTGGTTTGGCAGTCAAATGCCTTAGGCACTACACCACCAGGGCTCCCAGAACTGAGCTAGACATGATGAAATAAGAGTGAAAACAGTGGACTTCCAGTAAGATGAAGGAATAGGCAGACAAGCTACACAGACCCTCTTCAACAAAGAAAAAATAAACCAATTGACAGAGACAGAAGATAATCCTGGAGCCCTGAGCGTTGAAAGAAATACAGAAGTGGATTAGGCACCAACTACTGGAAAAACCTAAAAGAAAACAGTGAGTATAGAGATCGTTGGGGTAGTGGACTGTCAGCTACTCTGATGGGACCAACAGTCTGAATATTTCCAAGTGGTGTTGGGACCTGAGAAGTGACTTAAAAATCAACCCTGGTTGCCAAAGGCCACAGGGACGACTGCGCTGGTGGCCTGACTAGGGAAACAAGAAACAGCAAGGAAGGAGACAACCTGAGCTGTGGACTTTCCACTCTCCGGAGGGTGCAGCCACTTTGAATGCTTACAAGCTGTGGTCATTTTGGATATTTAAAGTGACCGAGAGCGCAGCCACTTTGAACGTTTACAAGTGGTGGCCATTTTGGATATTTAAAGTGACTGAGGACACAGCCATTTTGAATCTTTACGAGCAGTGGCCATTTTGGATTTTAAAGTTGAGAGCATTCTCATTTGGATTCTAGGGCCCTAAGACATGTGGCTGGGACATACAGGAGGCTGACAATGGGAAAGGAGGCAGATGGTGAGTGTGTAAGTCCTGCCAATTAGCAAACAGAGGAGCACAGCAGAGTACCCTGTTTACGTAGACAACACACAAAGAAAACGAAAATAGTGGGCAAGTCACTCCAACATACAATCACCAATTACATATAAACACAAAAAGGTCACAATGCCTTGGAGAAAACAGAGCATCACAATCCACACAAAGAAGCAAGATAAAGCAGGAGAAACATGGGACCAGAATACAGACCCAAAACACATCCCTGCAGAAGATGCAGCATTGGAACTCCCTGATAAGGAATTCGAAAGAATTATATTTAGGTATCTTCAGTGAATTGAGAGACAGATAAAGGAAAACACAGAGAAAACCCTACAACAATTTAGAAAGACAATACAAGAACAAGATGACAAAATAAATGAAAAAATTAGAAATGATATAAAATCTACACGTAGAAATCCAGAAGATTAATACTAAATTGTCAGAAATAGGTTAAGACACTGAACAGACAAAGGTGTAGAAATGAATCAATGGAAGAGAGATTTAGTGAGGCTGAAGACAAATACCTCAATACTTCTTTAGAAAGCAATCCATCAGAAAAAAGATCAAAACAAAATTAAGAAACCCTAAGATTCATGTGAAATACCATCAGAAGGAATAACCTACACATAATCAGAATTTCAGAACAGGAAGAGACAAATAAAACCATAGAAAAAAAACTGTCAAAGATCTGTTGGAAGAAAATTTTTCTGGTATGATGATGAAAGAGAATATATTCATTCAAGAAGACCAACAAACCCCAAACAGGATAGACCACAAAAGAAAATCACCAAGACATATCATCATCAAACTCACAAACCAAAGACAAAGAAAGAATCCTGAAAATAGCATGGGAAAACAAAAAATTACCTACAAGGGGCACCAAGAAGACTAAGCTTGGATTTCTCAGCAGAAACCATACTGGCAAAAAGACAACGGGATGATATATATAAAACCCTGAAAAGAGAAAAATTTCCAACCAAGAATTATGTACCCAGCAATACTGAACCTCAAATATGATGGTGAAATTAGGACATTTCCAGATAAGCATAAAGTAAGGGAATTTTTTAAAAGCAGAACAACCTTACAACAGATGCTAAAGAGAGTGCTTTGGATGGAGAAGCAGCAACAGCCAACAACTGACCATTAACACACATGGTGACATAATCCAGAAACCAACTCTGTAATGGAGGTATCCAAAGTAAATAAGCCTACAAGATTGTAAACAGGGAACCAGAGACATCAATTGACAATTGAGGATAACTGCAAACCAAAAAGAGGGAAAAAATTGTGTAGTTAACAGAATTTCTCAATGGTAGAATGGACTGTTCTAAATTTGGGGAAAAAAAAAACTATAAATCACAGGGTAACCTCAAAGAAAAATGATAAACTTTCACATTAAGACAAAAAAAAAAAAAGGACCAACACAAATATTCAGCAAACACTAAAACAACAGCAACAAAGGAAGTGATAACACGATTTATAAACAAAATAAGCTTAGCACAGAAAATTATATGGAACAAAGAAATCAGCACATAATAAAAATGACAGAACAAATTCACACTTGTCAATAATTACGTATTCGGCAAGGGACTTATCTCTAAGATTTACAGAAAACTACAACACCTCAACAGCAAAGGAATTAACAAACCAATTGAAAAAAGGGCAGAAGATATGAATGGACACTTCACCAAGGAGGATATTAAGGTGGCCAACAAATACATGGAGATGCTCACGATCATTGGTCATCAGAGAGATGCAAATCAAAACAACAATGAGATACCATTTCACCCTGCACTGATGGCAAGGTTCAACAAAACAGAAAACAACAAATGCTGTCAAGGATGTGCAGAGATTGGGACTCTCATACACTGCTAGTGGGACTGTGAAGTGATACAACCACTGTGGAAAGCAGTATAGCAATTCCTTAGAAAGCTGGAATTGGAAATACCATTTGACCCAGCAATCAATTACCAGGTATATACTCTAGAGAGATGAGAACCAGGACAGGCTCTCATGTTCATGATGTTCATCACAGCACTGTTTACAATAGCAAAAAAGAAGCAAACAACCTACATGCTTATCAATGGAAGAGTGGATGACCAAACTATGGTACATCCACACAACAGAATGCTATGCAGCACTAAAGAATAATGTAGAGTCTGCAAAACACTGCATAACACAGATGAACTTGGAGGACATTATGCTGAGTGAAATAAGTCAATCACAGAAGGACAAATATAGTATTAGTTCATTGTTGTGGAAGGTCAAAGAAAGGTTTATATATGGAGGGAAACTTTCTTTGTTGGTTGCCAGGTGTGGGAGGGGCAGGAAGGGAACACTGGGGGGGGGATAAAAAAGTAAATGACCCATGTCATTTTAGTTTTATGTACTTCACTGTACATAAATTATCTTTCAATAAAATGCATTTTAAAAAAAAGAAAGAAAATGTCACGGTGGTAGTAGTAGTTTATTACATGTTTTACCAGATTATTCTCACTATAACTAAGTCATTAATTATTTTAAAATGTGCTTTCTAGTTTCTAAATGGGGAGGGAAAGTTGAAGTTTCTTCTAATATTATTGGTTTATGATTTAAAATGTTGTCTGTATGTTATTGATTCATTTGAGCTTGTGAAGACTGCTTTGTGGTCTAGTATGTAGTCAATTTTACTAACTTTCCATTGTATACTTGAGAAGAATGTGTATTTCCTGCCAGTTGCACGCAGAAATTTACATTCTTCCATTAGATCAAGCTTGCTAACTATATAGTCAAAGTCATCTACTCTCCTACCAAGTTTTTATCCATTTGACCTATCAGTTATTGAGAATACTGTATTAAAGTCTCCCACTATGAGTATGTATTTCTCCACTTCCTCTCAAGAATTCTGCTAATTTTTGCTTCACGTATTTTGGGAATATATCATTAAATATATACAAGTTCAGAATTACTATTTAAAAATAAATAAATAAATAGGTGAAAACACTGCAAACTGAAGAAGGCTCTACAACTATGAAGGAGGCTTGGTGGAGCAACAGGTTCTCAGCTGCTAACCAAAAAGCTGGCAGTTCGAAGCCACACAGCAGCTCTGCAGAAGAAAGACCTAACAATTTGCTCCTATAAAGATAACAGCTAAGAAAACCCTATAGAAGTACTTTTTGAGAAATACTGGCGTAACAGCTTTGATTTTTCTAAGCCTCATCCTCCCACCAGCCCAGCTTGCTGTGAATTCAAGTCACCATTCTTCTCACACTTCTCAACAGCTCTGCTAATCACACTATCAAAGGCAACACTATTTCATTTACATGCTGTCTAGCCAAAGCCAAGGCAAACGCCTCAGGGGTCTTAATAAGATTCTCACTTCATAGTTTCCTGCCATGATGAGTTTAGCAAACTTCCTTGATCCTGCAACATTACAGCGCTCTCCAATGTTAACAAAGTTGGTATATGGTCCAATCCTGAAGGGCTCTAGACCTTAAAAAGAGAAGCATTTTGAAACATTTCTGAAAATGCATATGGATGACATGACATAGATAGAAAATAAACATTTTCATGAGAAAGAAATTACTGTGCTCAGCCCATATGATTAGGCAGTAAAACCCAAGACCACTGCCTTTTCCCCTAAAAACCAAAAAGAAACAAACCCACTGCCATCAAGGTGATTCCGACTCACACTAGCCCTACAGGACAGAGTAGGGTTTCCGAGACTAAATCTACAGAAGCAGATGGCTACATCTTTCTGCTATGAAGAGGATGGTGGGTTCAAACCGCCAACTAAATGCTTTAACTACTACATTACCAGAGCTCCTCCTTTCTCCCTTAAAGGTATTCAAATGGTCATAAGAAGCTATTTGTTGCAGTTACATGTACAAATAGACTCTCTAAAGAAGATGTATTTCAGATTTTATTTTTTAAATTATTTAACAGAATCTGGGGCAAAGCCATGAAAAAAATCTAGAATCAAAACAGGATTATTCCATCTCTCTCTTAGACATTAGTTAAAACTAAAAAAAAAAAAAGCTTTCATAACCCTACAAAAAGTGCTTAGAGCTTTACCCCACCTCTTTGATCAAGAGTGCAAGAAGCCATACTAGCTAAACATGTGCAAGACTGAATAGAATTAAGAGGAAGAAACTATGCTGAGACCTGTGAGACAGGCAGTAGTACTGTGGCATTTCTGCCTTTAGTAAGCTGTCTCCAGGCAAATCACTTGGGATTTTTCCATTCGTTTCCATTTTTGGCAAGGGTACTAACATCTCCCATGTTAAGTCCAAGTTGGGGTAAATATCAGGTAACAGATGTAGACACATTACACACAGGTAAAAGGCAATGTAATGTAAAGTATCACTACACAAAAGGCCCTCGTGTTTTTGTTTTACTCATTAAATTTAAAATATTAAGAGAGGCAGTCTTGCTAAGTGGTTATAGTTAGGCTTTGAAGATAGCCAATCGTGACTTCAAATTCCTGCACAGCTAGTTTCCTCAGCCTTTCTGGGTTTGAAAAATAGACAGTGGAAGTATCTACCTCATAATGTTACTGTAAAAATGAAACTAGATAGTGTTGGTAAGTACAAAATAAGCACCAGCAATCACAGTGGTTGTTGTTATTAAAAAATGAAACCACTTCTGAGTTCTTTGCCACAGCATCAGTTGAGGAAGAAACAAAATGAGTGAGAAAAATAATAAAAATATGTATTACATAGTAAAACCTGCAAAAGCCAAAATGTGTGTAAGACAAAAACCTGTCAGAGAAGGAAAACGCAAATATTTTCCACTAAAATGAGCACCTTTGTCAAAGGTGGAAAACTTGCAAGACTCAAAAAAAAAAAGCAGTTCCACTGAATTCTAGCTCTCATGGGTTTCCCATAAAATATATATAAAAATTGCAGGCTGTATGCTCAAGAACTGAAAAGACTATCACCTTCCATGGCTTCTTCCAAACCTAGTGTCAAGGTATCCCTATCCTTAGTCAGACTCTGAGGTTCATATACAAGGTGGCAAGGATGGCAACATTTAAACATGAAAGAGTTCATAAGTGATGTTCCTACAAGCATTGCACATAAAATGCAACTGATCTATTCTAAATGTGAAGTATTTGATATAAAAGCCACATTTCTCAAGTTTGCAATTTGTCATTCTTTTAAAATCTGATTGAAAATTTTTAAAGTAAGTAGAAATAATATGACATTCAAAATGAAAAAAAAAGCATTTTTTCATTCTTACATTAAAATACTAAAAAAAAACCACACACATCTAAATGGTTCTCTACTTGCTTCAGTTTTGGCAAAGATGGAATATTCTAATCATTAGTCAATGCATAGCTTTAAGCTTTAGGAAAAAAAAATAAACTTTCCTGCCATACCTCTCACCTCTCTCTGATGAAGGTCACTTTTTCCTATGGTTAAGAGATAATCATCAATCATAAATCCCACTTCCCCTAATCTCATTCTCTGCCTTCTCAAGTGTGAAAAACAAAAGCCTCCCTGAAGAAGTACATTTTCTAACTCATCTTCACACTCATTCACTGAGAATAATTCTACACAGTATGTTCTGAGTAAGAAAAGTAGATACTACTTTTGCTGTCACTTGTATTTTACCTCACTTTTCTTAAGATAACATAAGACACTAAAATATTTTAATTTAGAGAGATGATAAATTCTAAGTTATTAGGACACACAACTCCCCAAGTTCTTTGCAAGTTCCCTATGAATTTGTTTATACCTTTTTTTTTTTTTTTTTTTGCTTAAAGATACCATCTAAGAATATTTCCTTAAAGTACTGAAGCAAAATTATAAAATTTAAAGTTATTTTTCTAAGAGTTGGTATGATGGACTACTCTACTAATAATTGTTCCTTACTGGAGCATCAAAACTCAGGCTGAAAAAGTGTGGCACCCTATAAGGCTTATAAGGTTAAGAATCAAACCGAACAATAAATACTGAGATTCTCTGTCAAAGCCTAGACACATGCCACATGTAAGATTCACAACAATATTTTGGTAGCAAACAAAATACTCTAGGAAGCTGGTGCCATTATAAAACATTGAATCGGTAATCTGGGACCATTTAAACTATAAGGCTGTGGGTAATGTTTTTAAAACTGTACACAGCAGAAATAAGACCACACAAGTTCTACTTCTCAACAAGGGTACACACTGGCCAAATCTCCTGCACACTTTCACTTCCCTTCCACCCCGAAAAAAACAATTCTTTATTAGAATTCATTAAATGACAAGAAAAAAATCTGTATTCTTTTTTGACCAAATAAACAAGCTGCTTGACCCAAAATCACTAACACTTAGAATAAACATCCCAAACACATTCTTTAAATGGTTTCTGAAATCATAAAAACCATGTCTTTATAACTTACCAGACAATAACATATACCCTTCAAAAACAGTGGCAGGTGGAATCCTAGGTTTACAATTTTTAACAGCTTCAGCAATTTCCCTAAGTTGAAAAAGAAAACACTATATACCATTAACACAGAAGAAAATTAATTATTAAATTATTTCTATTAATTATTAAATTAATTAAATTATTTCCATTACTTTCCATCTATGAAATTTAATCCTGTTTAGCATAATTCTACACATAATTATATAACTGGTTCCATACAGATAATTATTACTGCTGTAGTAATAATTATACCTTTTAGTTTTCTCAGCAATGCAGAAAAGTAATCAACACACTTTAACTTTGATAGATCTACCCAGTTTGCTGTGAACTGCACTAGATTTTGCATTCAGAAGTGAAATTAAGAGACATGTGATGCAATGGTTTGCACAAACATAAATAGCAAATTCCTGTCCCCTTTCCAAACCCAAAGATGCCCTTTATTCTCTTAAATTCACACATGAAATATATACTTGTTTCTTATTCAGTAGTTTAAGGGGGAAAAAACAGCTTCAGCATAGAGATGGGAATGAGCAGGAGAGAAGGTCCACTAGTAGTGGAGGGAATTAAGTCCTGTAGGTCCGTTTTTCCTAAAACTAGCAACGAACAGTAGAGTGGTACATAGAACTCAACACTAAAATGTCAAAATAATTATTCCTAAAAGTTGGTTCTGTTTTCATCATTCATACGCTCCTTAACTTTATCACTTTTGATCAATTGTGTCTTTGACCACCCAGAAATATCTTCACTACTCTACTGAATTTATCAGGACCAGTAAGAAATACTCACTCTACTGCCCCTAAATTAGTAGGTGGATGTCAAGTTAAAAGAGTGTGTGTGTATGTGTGTGTGTGTGTACAATACATATATATTATACATTCATTTGTTTACATATATAGCTATGCATATTATATACATAAATATACACATATACAGGAGCTCTGGTAGCATAGTGCCTAAGGCACTTGACTGCTAACCAGAAGGCTGGCTGTTCAAACCCACCAGCCACTCCTCAGAAGGAAGGTTGGACAATCCTACTTCTGTAGTGTTACCGCCTCAGAAACCCAAGGAGGGGACGCTATGAGTTGGGTCTGACTCAACGGCACATAACAACAACAACAACATACACATATACATACACATACACACACATATAAAATGTATAGACAGACTTTTTTTTTTTTAATTGTGATTTGGGTGAAAGTTACAGAGCAAATTCATTGCCCACAATTCCTCTTTTAAAAAATAACAAAATAAAAGAACGAAGAGAGATCACCTGTGAACCAAAGATAAACCATATTCAACAAGTAACAGCTTTCAAATATTATTTAAAAGATTTAAAAACTATATTACTTATTAAGAGTCTATCACAGAAGTTAAAAGCAGTAAAATACTAGGTGATTCAATATTGTGATTTTTATATGAATGAATATAGAATAGTGATGTGACTATATCAAAATGACCATCAGTCACTATAGCGAAAAAAATCACACTACTACTAAAATATGATCTGTTCCACTGAATTCCAATCCTCCTGTAAGACAAAAAGTCAAAAGTAATTAAACACATACTTAAATTAAGTTCTTATATTTCATGCTTCCTTCAAACACTCATACACATTTATTAATTTTTAACTATGTACCAGGTCCAGGGATACAGGTAAGGAGAGACAACTCAGGGACGGCCAAAGCAGCAGGCCAGAAGAGCAGGAGAAAGGGGATTAAAAGCCAGGAAGCCAGACAGAGGAACAGTCAGCCACAGGGAACCAGCTGGGGTGATACGAGAGGTCTCCAACAGCAAGACAAACTTGTCTGTCGGTTTGTCCTACTGTGGTGACACGTAGACGTGAGTTTTGAGGCTGAGCCTCTGGTGTTTAAAACCCAG